CTGGTGGAGTCGAAACATTTACTGTTGGTGCTGCGGCATGCATATGAAGAAGGGTTTCTCTTAGCCTCCGCGCAGGTCTGTCTGCCGGCTACCCAGTCCAGCACGAGTGGGACGCCGTCCTTGTACTTGTCATAAAAGTTGTAGTTGCGGAGGTAGGACTCGTCGAAGGCGAACCCGTCCTGGTCGGCAACGAAGGTAAAAGTGCAGGGGATGTAGTCCCTGTAGGATGAAGAAACATTAATGAAATAGGCCATCCCGGTCGTAAAATTTTCCAGCTTCTCCGGGATGGTGGTCTGGCAGCAGCCGGTGCCAGAGCACGATCCGCTTGTGATGTTTGCCCCTCCGAAGCAGAAGGAGGCGCACCCGGTTCCTAATGAATAGTTGTCCCCGCCTATGACGATGCCAATGACGTTGCAGCCCATGGTCGTGAACCTGTTCTTGGTGCTGGATACCCAAAATGGTTTGTCGCCAAGGTCTAGAGTAGGTCTTCGACCAGCCACCCAGTCGTTGGTACTGTTGAAACAATCCCAGCTAACGTAATTCAGGATGCGTGCTTGGCCCTGCGGCAAGATTATCTCCTCAACTGTAATGTTCCTCTCGCGGCCGACCAAGAAAGCTCTGGGAGTCGCAGAGCCGTTACCGACTTCGCAAGTGACCTCGAAGCCTTCCCTGAAACACCCATCGCCGATGCCGAAGGGGTACGGGATGCTAATACCGCCGCATGTCTCATTGCAACGGGGTGACACCACGTTCGGCGACGGTGGCGCCGATGCTGCTGCAGTCGTTGCTGCTTGCAGCAGCGTCAACAACAACAACAGCTGAAACGCGAACAGTGGCAGCGTGGATCCCATTGCTTATGCTTGCTTGAAATTGATGGTACCCTTCAGGCTTCCATCAGATTTATAAGCCAACAGATGGCGTAGCGTGCTTAATTCCTTCTAAAATCGAGTGGCATATAATAATTGCTTGATCCAATACTCGTTCTGCAGCCCAAGTGAAGACTTATCAAGACGAAGCCATGACACGGCAAATACAAGAAGACCCTGTCGCTTGGAAAACTGGACAGTGACTTGTACAGATCCCGTCTAAGTCTTCTTTTAAGATTACAGAAAGTTGGAGCTGTGATCGGTACAGGAGGCCTCCTCGCAGTTTGACTCTGGAATCCACACCCAACCGAAGACTTGCTTGCTTAATCCAAATACAAATAAGTAACGCCAATTTTTCAGTAACAGCCCCCCTTCCTCTCTCTCTCTCTCTCTCTCTCTCTCTCTCTCTGTACACGAGGCGCTTCCGGCGTCATTTGGCCGCTGATTCCCTACGTGACTTGGGATCAACGGTTGAATAGTGAAGTACAAGGAGAGCAGCGACTGCGTGTTTGGAACTAAATCTAGCAGCTTATGGAGGGCTCGGTCTTTCTCCTGGTTTGGATTTGTGTTCTTTCTTTATGCCGAAAGGAATCAGTTTGGATATGCATGGGATGTAAGCTTCTTGTTATTTTTGTCTTGATGTCAGCTTCAAGATAAGAGCTGTAGAGGAGAAGAATAGAGAAACTTCAAATTAATTTTTTTTTTATTGAACATCATTGCTTATAATTTAACGTACCGTTGAATATTTAGATTTTACTTATTTATTTTATTTGGCTCTACCTCATTTCCCCTTCCTTTTTCTTATTATTTGTAGAGTATAATATTACATTAGCAATCTATTTCCACTACATTTGACTTCAACTACCACAAAAAACCTATCTTAGATGAGACTCTTAAATCAATATCTTATCTAACCATAAAGTTTAAGAAAATATTCCAATACTCCTTTCAAACTAGAGTTTTACATAGAAAAAGAAATATATGTATTACAATCCATCATACCAATAGTCAATGATAAGAAGAAGGTACTTTAAGTGCCCTTAGATTTTGTTTTAATTATGGCAACCTAAAACATCAATAGAGTGGGCCACATGATCGGTATGATGTCACGATAGTAATGTTCAATGGTTCAGACGATTCATCACACTCAGACAACCTTAATTATTCTATAAATAAACTCCGGCTTATTTATGATGGACAGACACTATAGAATCATATATAAAAAAGCTCTTGAAACCCTATGAATTCTACATTACTGTTCCCCAGCATTACTAACTTAAAGCATATGCACGCCCTCCATTTACAGACGAGGTCAGACTTGTCGAAGGAGAACCCTAATGAAGTCATAGGTGCGGGGGGTGTAGTCATCGTAGGAAGATAGATCGACGAAATAGGCCGACCAGGTCGTCAAATAATAGTCCGGTTTCGCCAGGATGGTTGTCTTTTAGCAGCCGGTGCCATGGCAGTGAAGAATATTTATTGAAGAAATGAAAAATGCTTCAATACAAGAAGAAGGATTTCCCTCAACAGAATAGAGGATTTTTCTCAACAGAATAGAGAGATTTATCTTAAATAATGGTTTACGAGCGATGTAAATAATAGTTTACGAGCAAGAGGCTTTGTGAGGATTAGTCACGGAGCCTCTTAGGAATTTGGCTGCAGTGACGTTGGTCGCTGGCCGAAGGCAAGAGCGAAGCTTGCTTTTCTCAACAACGTCGATTGCCTGGCCGAAGACAAGAGCAAAGCTTCGCTTTTTTCACTGCTCTAATACCATGAAAAAAATAATAGAAGATAAGAACAATTATTGAAGAAGTGAAGAATATTTATTGAAGAAATAAAAAATGCTTCAATACATTAATATTTCCCTCTCCTATTTATAGAGATTGAGGAAGGATAACGGTTTAAATGATCACGCGATGTCATTCAGGATATGTCCTTATCTGTAATGTTCCTCTTGCCGCCGCCCAAGAAAGCTCTGGGAGTTGCAGAGCCGTTAACCACATCGCAAGTGACCTCGAAGCCTTCCCTGAAACACCCATCGCCGATGCCGAAGGGGTACGGGATGCTAATAACGCAGCATGTCTCTTTGCAATGTGGTAACAACTCGTTGGAAGCTGAAGCTGTGATTGGTGTAGACCTTTCCGAAGACCCTATGAAGTCTACATCATGACTCTTCCCCAGCATTGCTAACTTAAAGCATATGCACGCCCTGCATTTTTATATGATCCCTGCCGAACCCTCACGCTCTCTTATACCAAACTTATGATAGACTCAAATGCAAACAAGGTTGACTTCCACAGACTGACAATCGAACAAACAGGGATTGTTATTTGTTCCACATCAAGTAGTGCTATTTGTTCTATTCCAACAACAACAGGTAGTGCATTGATCTCATTTATTAGAACCAAAATGTTGGATAACATGTATGTATAAATGTGGTTTACTTCCATGCTATTGAATTTTGGAGTAAGAGATGCCAAATCTATATATATATATATAAATACTTGCCAAAGATTGTTCCTATTGATGTTAACATATGTTTTTAAATTCATTAATTAACTATAATTTTCTATTAAAACCACAAATTTTTCTTATTTTCAAATATTTTATTTTATTGATAAATCCTATGCATACCTTTTAAAAATTTTATTATATGAAAAATATAAGTACTAATATGGAATTAATGCCCTGGCCGATAACTCAACAACACGTAGGTGATAAATGATAGACCCATCGATAGTTCGAGACTATATATATAATGTGTGGCCGACATCTTGACACCACAAAGGTGGCAAGCGTCAACACCATGTTGACGACAAGTGGTTGACATGCCGACAACCTAAGGTCACGTAGACAACACACGATGGACACCTCGACATTTGGACTAAGTTTGAATAATCAATGTGTGTCTTGCATTTGGCGCATCATGACACCAAGACCCTAATTATATTTGATGATCTTGAAAGTAATGATCCTTAGAGTCCATCGTAAAAGGGACTCCATAAAAGGAACTCTCTTCAAGTGCTCATCCAAACTATCCGAGTCCAAAATTGACTTGAGTATCAGAGGAGCATTCGTCAAGAATAATCTCGATGTAATTTTATAAGTTTGACACCTATAGAGTCAGTAATAACTAGAATTTATGATGAGACTAACATGGGAAGGAGCATCGGCTTTGAATCCATTTTAGATCAAACAATTAAAAATTACACTAATAGTTTGACGCTAGAAGGAAGGTTTGAGATGTTTAAGAAAAACTTTACTACATCATCTCAACTAAATCTTGAAGATCCAAACCCGACTGAACTGATCGATAGTCAAACCTACTGCACCCGCCTTTCAAATGCTCGAACCATTGGTCTTCCATCAATTGTTCTACGATTCGGTGGCTATATATATATAATTTTTTTTATAAAAATTAAAAACAAAATTTATTATATGAAATGACGTATATATTGCTCACACATGGATTCAAGTTTGAAATCTATTACATGTACAATAATGTACTAATCAACTCAGATATTTCAACAAAAAATAAAAGAATTAATTATATTGCTTACTGTAATAAGTATGTAAATAATTTAAGAGAATATGTTATTTATATAACATGTGAGATTTTTAAGGGGTTTGGAAAAATTATAGATCATACTATTGTATTTTACTCGTATTGTAACAATTTTTTTATTTTTTTCAAACGAAATTGGTCACCCCAATTCTCTTTTTTTTGTAAAAAAAAACTCGATCACCCTCTTTTAAATAAAAAAGAGAGAATAAAAAATTGATACAGTCAAATCAAATTGGCAATTGAGATTGAAAGCGGAAGTGTGATGTATGGTTTTTTGAGGAACCTTCGCCACCCATATAAATAGGTATTCAGATTATGCATACCAATGGACGTGAGGTTAACTTGGGATCAACCGTTGAATAGTCAACGACAAGGATAGCCACTTCAAACTAAATCTCTTGGCTTCATTTACCTCTACATTTATCTCCTCCTCTCTTCTTCTTGTTATTTCTAAATTAGTATTTCATGAGCCATCTATTTTCACTACTTTGATTTCAACTACCACAAATAATCTTATCTTAAATAGGACTCTTAAATCAATATCAGATCTAATCATAAAGCTTAAGTTAATATTCCAATACTTCCTTTAAACTCGAGTTTTACATAGAAAAAGAAATACAAATTACAATACTGAGAGTTACAATCCATTATAAATTTATTTATCATGCTTGTAATAGAAGTAACATAAGTTACAAAACAAGTAACCAAGAACAGTCTGTTCTGCTAGTTCGATTTTAACATAGAGAGAGAACATAGTTTCTTTATCTGCTTCATCTTCCAGCTTTTACATCAAATCCCAATTTGTTCTCTAAACTGTGGTACCCGACAGAATCCAAGGTAGAGCTCATAGATGATTCACCAAGCAATGCTTCACATTCCTCGGGTGCATGGTGTGTTGAAGAGACCTGTAGGAACCCTCCTAACATATGCAGTTTCTCAGCCACTTCTCTCATCGTAGGCCTTTCATCCCCATTCATGTTCAAACATTCCTTTGCAAGCTCGGCAATTTCGTGGATGACATCCATGTTTTCTTTTCCCATGATTTGATCATCCAATATCTCTTCAAGTCGGCTGTCTTTCATTGCTTCGATGAAGCTTGAAGCAAGAGCTTTTCCTTGATTGCTCCCATCATAATAAATTGCCTTTTTCCTTGTGACGAGCTCCACCAAAACTACTCCAAAGCTATAGACATCACTCTTTGCTGTCAGTTGACGGACTAGCAAGTACTCTGGGTCCAAATAACCAAGAGTTCCCTGGACCATCGTTATGAATTGGGTTTCGTCTATAGATATCATCCTCGATGCACCAAAATCCGATACCTTTGGCACGTAGTTATGATCTAGAAGTATATTGAGCGACTTCACATCTCCATGAACGATCGGAGGGGATGCTGATGAATGCAAGTAAGCGAGTGCTTCTGCAGATTCTCTGGCTATTCGTAGACGAGTAGTCAAGGGAATTAGTTTCTCATTATTGTCATGGATGAAGTCGAAGAGGGTTCCATTGGGTATGAACTCATAAACCAACATGGGAATTTCGACTTCCAAGCAACAACCCAAGAGCCTTACAATATTCTTGTGATTGATCTGAGAAAGAATAATCATCTCCCGTACGAATTCTTCACTTTGGTCCTCGGTGACTACCTTAGACCTCTTGATGGCCACTTCCCTACCATCGTCTAGGTATCCTTTGTAAACGGTGCCATGGCCTCCTCGCCCAAGTTCTCGACTCTTATCGAAATTATCCGTTGCCTTCTCTAGATCCTCTTTAGTGTATATTTTGACAGTGTCGATTTTCTTTGATCTGATTTCTTCATATAACCTCAAGCCTCCATTTTGCTGGAAGAATTTATCTTTTTCTCTAAGAAGCTTCCTTCTTTGAAACGCTAAGATTATGCAGAAGATACAAGTAATGAACGAGACAATCCCAACACAACTGCCTGCACAAAGGGATGAGTTTTCAAAATAGAAGATTGTTACCGACGAGGCCTATTAACGAAATTTAAAAGGATAAGAAATTTCAAGCTTTTTTTAAGAAGGATGACTTAATCGAAATAAAAACTCAGATTATTTTTTTCTTCTGATTGAAGTTTTAAGAGAAGGTTTAAAGCTAATACGGAAGGAAGGATGAGAACTTGTACCTATAACAATCTTCGTTGATGTCGGAATTCCTTGATCTCGGACACAAGGTTCCGATTTAGGGTCCTTGCTGCTGTGACCTTTTGGGCATGTGCAGCTGTAGTTGCCTAATGTGTTGCTGCACTTTCCATAACATGGATACTGATTTGGTAAGCTGCACTCGTCGATATCTAAGGATTGTCAAAGAATCACAAGGATAAATTGTAAGACCATATACAACAATCGAAAACAGGAGAGTTGGGGGAGAGATGCATGCTGACCTTTGCATCCATCTGGGAGGTAAGGATTGCCTTGGAAACCTGTGGAGCAATTGCAGATATAGCCAGGTAGACTGGTGGAGTCGATACAGTCACTGTTGCTGCATGCAAATGAAGAAAGGTTTCTCTTAGCCTCCTCGCAGGTCTGGTTGCCGGCTACCCAGTCCAGCACGAGTGGGACGCCGTCCTTGTACTTGTCTCTAAAGGTGTGGTTGCGAAGGTCAGACTTGTTGAAGTAGAACCAGTCCGTGTCGGCAATGAAGGCATAGGAGCAGGGGCTGTAGTCCGTGTAGGAAGAAATATCGAAGAAAGTGGCAAACGTGACCGTAAAATTGTCCAGCTTCTCCGGGATGGTGGTCTCGCAGCAGCCGGCGCCATGGCACGATCCGATTGCGATGCTTGCCTCTTCGAAGCAGCCGGAGACGCACCCGGCTCCCAATGTATAGTTGTCCCCGCCTATGAGGATGCCAATGACGTCGCAGCCCATGGTCGTTAACTCGTTCCTCGTGCCGGATACGCTAAACGGAAGGCCACTGAGGTTGATTGAAGATCCTTGATCATCCACCACGTCGCCGGTACTGTTGAAACAAAGCCAGGCGATGTCATTCAGCACGCTTGCTTGGCCCTGGAGCAAGGATATGTTCTGAACTGTAATGTTCCTCTCGCTGCCGCCCAAGAAAGCTCTGGGAATCGCGTTAACGACTTCGCAAGTGACCTCGAAGCCGTCCCTGAAACACCCATCGCCGATGCCGAAGGGGTACGGGATGCTAATACCGCCGCATGTCTCATTGCAATGTGGTGACACCACGTTCGGCGACGGTGGTGCCGATGCTGCTGCAGTCGTTGCTGCTTGCAGCAACGTCAACAACAACAACAACAGCAGAAACGCGAACAGTGGCAGCGTGGATCCCATCGCTTATGCTTGCTTGAAATTAATGGTACCCTTCAGGCTTCCATCAGATTTATAAGCCCACAGATGGGGGAAGCGAGCTTAATTCCTTCCAAAATCGAGTGGCATAGAATAATTGCTTGATCGAATACTCGTTCTGCAGCCCAAGCGAAGACTCGTCAAGGCGAAGCCAGCACACGGCAAATACAAAGATCCTTTTACATAAATTCGATAAGACATGAAGCTCCAATTACTTGGTGCCAAAAGGCAAAACGAAGACTTGCCAAGAGAGTCCGTCAACGGTTGATTTAGTCACCGACAAGGATAGAAGCCGGATGGGTATGGAAGAAAATTACCAGCGTCGATTGCAAAACGCAGTGTGTGAGAAGAATCACTTGGCAGACGAGACAAAGATTTTTGTGACTTCTGATAGGTTGATTATAATGTTTCTGTGAACCAAGTTTTCCTCCTAAAACGACACTTGAAAGCCATCTCATAAAACTATTTAGGAGACTCGGATCTGAATATTCTTTTGCTTTTATAATTTCTAGACCTATAATCTATTAGAAATGTACAGTAATAACATTTTATGCGTTATATATTTATGTCTTTAATATTTTGCAAGAGGATTAACAGAAAAGCAAAAGCTGCGGTATTACTAAAACATATTTAGTCTTTGAATTCAACCAATTAAACTCTTAATACACAGTATTATTATTATTAGCAAAAATACAAAGAAATATAAAATGATGGTTTTTGAGCATTTTTGTAACAGTACTTTCCTGCTATCTTTTTTTCACGGGAGTCAACCTAAAATTGATTGCTGACTTTTCTACATGAAAAGTCACATCAGCAACATTGATTGCTGACTTTTCCTGCTTACTGCTCACTGACTGATATGGACGAGAGGTGGAATATTTAGCTACTCAAAGATGGCGACATGTTACTTGCACTGTGTTTTAATAATTAAGGCCAATAAAGTTTTTGATGATTATTAATTATACGAAATCTTATATATTATATTAATAATGTTTTTAAAGAATTTTTTATTACATTAAATGGTGTATAAGATGCTCACATGAATTCGAATCGAGATCCATCGATTGTGAAACAATACAATAACCATTAAAATGTCTCGATAGATATATTGTATTAAGTAGTTAGTCAAATGGTTGGTTATATTTAAATTCGATCATTCGATGAAAATTACTTCAAAAGATAAACAAAAATAGAAGTAGAGGAAGTGAATATAGGCCTCGAAAGATTAAAGAGAAAGATATTGAATTTATATAGTTCTTATCATCATCATCATCATTACCATCATCTTACATTCTATATTGTTAATTTTAAAATGATTAAAAGTCAAGCAAGTCACCTTCTCAAAGTTTATAATCGAAAAAAAAAGAGAGCTAGAAGTAATCAAGGAATTTGATGAGGTCAAATTTGATTATTCTATTGAACAAGGAATCCATAAATATAAAAAATAAAATATTGAGTGATAACTAAAAAAAAGTATATCCAAGAGTAGAAGAAGTTAATGTGTTATCTAGAGATCTTTTATATACTTTATTATTATGAAAAGTAATCATCAAATTTGATGAGACATTGATGATGACCTATCGAAAGATCTTTTATATATCTTATTAGTACGAAAAGTAGTCATCAAATTTGTTGGAATACTGATGATGACCTATCAAAAGATCTCCTACATATCTCGTTACCATGAGAAGTAGTCATCAAATTTATTGGAACATTGATGATGACGTATCGAAGGATCTCTTATATATCAATCAAATTTGTTAAGACACAAAAAATGATATATTTTCAATGTGAGAGTTCATAAGAATATAGTGTATGAGTAGTGTAGCTAACTATTTTTCAAAGCAAAAAAAAATTATTACGATGATAATATATTTATAAAAAATAAAATAAAATTTTATTATATTAAATGACTCACAGGATGCTACTTAAACCTGAGACTTATTATTGTACAATAATAAGTTAACGAATCAGATATTTTAATAGAGACTACACTACTCCACTCTATATTGGAGCCATCCATGTCCTCATTATTTAGCTTCGTGACACATCAATAATTTTTTATTTTTGGAATTTATTACGAATTCTCAGCTGCTACAAAGCATAGTGTTAGAATCCATAATATTCTTAATTATCCAGAAGCAAACAGAGAATAAATAAGTTTCAGGAGAAGCACCAACTTAAACATTTTTTTTGATCCTGCTAATATTGTCTTTTCAACAAAGGAAGTGATGCCATTTTACTTGAAAGTTCATCGTCTTCCGACTTCTATATCAAATCCTATTTTATTCTGTAAACTATGGTAATTTGTACTGTATAAGTGGGAAACGTTGATGATTCACCAAGCAATCTTTGGCACTCTTCAGGAACATGTTGCGTGGAAGATCGTCGTTGGAGCCCTCTTAGTGTATATGGAGCTTCTCGGCCAATTCTCTCATTGTGGGCTTTTCTCTCCCTCAACACTCAAACACTCCTTTGCAAGCTTGGCAATTTCTTGAAGGATATCCAAGCTCTCCTTCCCTGTGATTTGATCATCCAACATCTCTTTTGAGCTTGTTATCTTCGTTGCTTCAATAAAGCTTGATGCAAGGCATTTTCTTTAACTATTTCGATCATAATAAATTAAATTATCTTCTGACTATTTCGAAATGGTAGACATCACACTTTATTGTTAATCATCATTATGAACTGAGCTTCATCAATAGATAATAGTCTCGATGCACCAAAATAGAAATTATGATCTACGTTGAAGGATGGGAGGAGAAGTCAACGAGTGCAAGTAGGCAAGTGCTTCTGTAGATTCTTCAGCTATCCATAGACAAGTAGCCAAAGAAATTAATTTCTGTCATCCGCATGGATAAAGTTAAAAGAATGTTTTATTGGGGATAAAATCATAATTTAATATGGAAATCTTCACCTTCAAGTCTTATCAACTTCTTATGATTTATGATTGATCCGACAAAGAATGATCATCTCAGTTTTCTTGTCTTTGAAGTTTTGGTGTTCAGTTTAATTTCCCAAGCAAAATAGTAGAGGTAATATATACATATAGTAATACCATCACCTCGAATATTGTATAGTAAGTAGATTTGTTGGAGAGTAATTGTTGGAGTTGCTTTGTCACACTTAGATTTTGGCATGGAAATTGACGAGGGAAGGTGTAACTCGTCGATCATACACACACGTCGGTGCTTCCCACACCGGTAAGGCCGCCCGAAAGAACATCCACGCCGCCACACGGGTGATGCCTTCCTTGGAAAGGCCTTACCATATTGATACTATCCACATGCTGAAAGAATAAGGTGCAAATCCAAAATATATGATGTAGAAATAATTTAGTTTATGTATTATTTGAATTTTTTATTAATTTAGGGATAATTTGCATATCACATAAGTTGTCATGAGGTAGCATTTATTCAAGGCAATGAATATAGAAAAAAAAGGGGAAGAAATTAAATTCATTATTGATCGAAGATTATAAATCTTGATTAAAGATTTTAAAATTTTATCTATACAAATATATTTTTTTATTAATCAATAATTGTAATTATCTCTATAAATTTAAAATATTGAAAGATTTTTCTAAAAAAAAGGTCAAGAATATTATTTTTTAAAGAAAATAAAAATATTATATATTTAATTTAATATAATTATAATTATTTTTATTTCTATATATTTATTTATTTATTCTGAGCCCTTAAAAAGAACTGGAACATTATAATAGATAACCAAAAATTGATCAATAAATTATGTTCTTCGCATGTGTCAATGTAGGAATCGTATTTTTTTCTTATGGAATGATTTCATCGTCCACGTGAGAAACTTATGAAAATATGGGATCTTCATCTTCATAGTATTTTTCATTAGTTAGAATCATTTATCTTTTGATTATTATCATTCTCATCCTTTTAGTCCTTCATCATAAAAAATAAAAATATTTACTACAATTGAGCTACCGGTAGTATGAATTACTACCATAATCTTTTCTATTACTATATAAACTTAAAGAAAAAAGAATAAATATTACAAGAGATCCTGCCTCCCATGCTGTCTTCGACAATAGATTTGAGCCTCCTAGTGATTCAGGGCCCTCATTGTCGGGCGAGATCCAGATCCAAAACACCCTACCACCATTGAGGAATGAAAGCTTCTTCTACGATTCCTAAAGAATTTCGCCAAAATATGAGGCACTGTTGTGATGCCTCCTACTAGGGTTTCGCCCTCGCCCTAAGATGATTGGGGTTGAAGACGGTATTTGAAATCTATAGTTTTGTGCTTGCATTGGCTACATCATCCTTGTTGCCACCGAATTGCCAAGAGATCTCCCTCTGAGTGAGATCGAGAGGACAAAAGAACATAAGTATTAAAAGAACTATAAAGAACTAGAACAACTAAACAAATTAATCATAGAGAGAGAAAGCTTATAAAAAAACACGATTAGAGAATAAATAGTATGAATACACAAAACAATAATAATTTAATCAAGATGCCTTTTTATTTTTATTTTGTGAGCTTTGTCATAAATTAATTGTAGAACTAAAGAGATTTAAACTCAAAACCTCGTCGAAAGTTTTTACCAGCTAATATAGTTAGCATGGAAGGTGTGCGATCTGATAAGATAATTAGTCTCTTAATTTATTTAAATTAAAATTAAACTAAGATAATTAGCTCCTTCTTAGATGTTGGAAGAAGTCTTCTTCTCTCCTTCCTTTTGAGAGAGATTGAGATACTATGAGCATCTTATTATCCAAGTCTGAATTCATTCTTACTGAATTCAAATATACTATGAGCATCTTATTATCCAAGTCTGAATTCAAATATATACACTTAATTTTTTTATAAAAATAGAAAACAAATTTCATGACATGAAATGATGCATATAATATTCACACATGGATCCAAGTCAGAAACCTATCACTTGTAGGATAATACACTAACCAAATACGTGTATTTGAGTTTAAAATCTATCACTTGTATATTAATACACTAACCAACTTACAAATCTCAACAAAGATTAAAAGAATTAATTATATCACTTACTCTCATAAGTATGTAAATAATTTAAAAGAAGATGTTATTTATATAACATGTGAAATTTTTAAGGGACTCGGTAAAACTATATATCATACTCTTTTATTTTATTCTATCACATTTTTTTAAATTTTTTTTGAAAGAAATTGATCATCTCTCTTTTAAATAAAAAGAAAGAATAAAAATTCGATACAATGAAATCAAATGGCCCATATAAATAGGTCTTCAAATTATGCATACCAATGGACTTGAGGTTAACTTGGGATCAACCGTTGAATAGTCAACGACAAGGATAGCCACTTCAAACTAAATCTCTTAGCCTCTTTTACCTCTACCTAATCTCCTCCTCCCTTCTTCTTGTTATTTCTAAATTAGTATTTCATTAGCCATCTATTTTCACTACTTTGATTTCAACTACCACAAATAATCTTACCTTAAGTAGGACTCTTAAATCAATGTCTAATCTAATCAGAAAGCTTAAGTTAATATTCCATTACTTCCTTCAAACTCGAGTTTTACATAGAAAAAGAAATATAAATTACAATATTGAGAGTTACAATCCATTATACTTTTATTTATCATGTCTGTGATAGAAGTAACATAAGTTACAAAACAAGCAACCAAGAACAGTCTATTGTTCTACTAGTTCGATTTGAACATAGAGAGAGAACCTTGTTTCTTTATCTTCTTCATCTTCCAGCTTTTACATCAAATCCCAATTTGTTCTCTAAACTATGGTACCCGACAGAATCCAAGGTAGAGCTCATGGATGATTCACCAAGCAATGCTTCACATTCCTCGGGTGCATGGTGTGTTGAAGAGACCCGTAGGAACCCTCCTAACATATGCAGTTTCTCAGCCACTTCTCTCATTGTAGGCCTTTCATCCCCCTTCATGTTCAAACATTCCTTTGCAAGCTCGGCAATTTCGTGGATGACATCCATGGTTTCTTTTCCAATGATTTGATCATCCAATATCTCTTCAAGTCGACTATCTTTCATTGCTTCAATGAAGCTGAAGGCAAGAGCTTTTCCTTGACTACTCCCATCATAATAAATTGCCTTTTTCCTTGTGATGAGCTCCACTAAAATTACTCCAAAGCTATATACATCACTCTTTGCTGTTAGTTGACGAACTAGAAAGTATTCCGGGTCCAAATAACCAAGAGTTCCTTGGACCATCGTTATGAATTGGGTTTCGTCAATAGACATCATCCTCGATGCACCGAAATCTGATACCTTTGGCACATAGTTATGATCTAAAAGTATGTTGAGCGACTTCACATCTCCATGAACGATCGGTGGGGATGCCGATGAATGTAAGTAAGCAAGTGCTTCTGCAGATTCTCTGGCTATTCGTAGACGAGTGGTCAAGGGAATTAGTTTCCCGTCGTTGTCATGGATGAACTCGAAGAGGGTTCCATTGGGGATGAACTCATAAATCAACATGGGAATTTCCACTTCCAAGCAACAACCCAAGAGCCGTACAATGTTCTTGTGATTGATCTGAGAAAGAATAATCATCTCCCGTATAAATTCTTCACTTTGGTCGTCGGTGACTACCTTAGACCTCTTGATGGCCACTACCCTTCCATCGGCTATGTTTCCTTTATAAACGGTGCCATGGCCTCCTCGCCCAATTTCTCGACTCTTATCGAAATTATCTGTTGCTTTCTCTATATCCTCTTCGGTGTATATTTTGACAGTATCAATTTGCTTTGATCTGATTTCTTCGTATAATCTCAAGCCTCCATTTTGCTGGAAAAATTTATCTTTTTCTCTAAGAAGCTTCCTTCTTTGAAACGCTAAGATTATGCAGAAGATACAAGTAATGAACAAGACAAGCCCAACACAACTGCCTGCACAAAGGGATGAGTTTCATGTCAATTATTTTGCAAACTCTTCCGGAGATCGAATAACGAGTTTCCAAAATATTGTTCGGACGAAGCCTATTAATGAAGATTAAAAGGATAAGAAATTTCAAGCTTTTTTTAAGTAGGATGACTTAATCGAAATAAAAACTCGAATCTGAATAGATTATTGTTTTTCTTCTGATTGAAGTTTTAAGAGAAGGTTTAAGCTAATACGGAAGGAAGGATGAGAACTTGTACCTATAACAATCTTCGTTGATGTCGGAATTCCGTGATCTCGGACACATGGTTCCGATTTAGGGTCCTTGCCGCTGTGACCTTTTGGGCATGAGCAGCTGTAGTTGCCTGGGGTGTTGTTGCACTTTCCATGACATGTATACAGATTTGGCGAGCTGCACTCGTCGATATCTAAGGATTGTCAAAGAATCACAAGGGAAAATTGTAAGACCACATACAACAATCGAAAACAGGAGAGTTGGGGGAGAGATGCATGCTGACCTTTGCAGCCATCCTGGAGGTAAGGATTGCCTTGGAAACCTGTGGAGCAATTGCAGATATAGCCTTGTAAACTCGGGGACTTGAAACATTCACTGTTGGTGCTGCGGCATGCATATGAAGGGTTTCTCTTGGCCTCCTCGCAGGTCTGGTTGCCGGCTACCCAGTCCAGCACGAGTGGGACGCCGTCCTTGTGCTTGTCTTCAAAGGTGCGGTTGCCGAGGTCAGACTTGTCGAAGGAGAACCTTGCCTCGTCGGCAATGAAGGCATAGGTGCAGGGGCTGTAGTCCTTGTAGGAAGAAATATTGATGAAATAGGCCAACCCGGTCGTAAAATTGTCCAGCTTCTCCGGGATGTTGGTCTGGCAGCAGCCGGTGCCAGAGCACGATCCGCTTGTGATGTTTGCCCCTTCGAAGCAGAAGGAGGCGCACCCAGTTCCTGATGTATAGTTGTCCCCGCCTAAGAGGATGCCAACGACGTTGCAGCCCATGGTCGTGAACCTGTTCTTGGTGCTGGATACCCAAAATGGTTTGTCGCCAAGGTCTAGAGAAGGCCTTTGACCAGCCACCACGCCGTCGGTACTGTTGAAACAATCCCAGCTAATGTAATTCAGGATGCGTGCTTGGCCCTGGGGCAAGAATATCTCCTCCACTGTAATGTTCCCCTCGCGACCGCCCAAGAAAGCTCTGGGAGTCGCAGAGCCGTTACCGACTTCGCAAGTGACCTCGAAGCCTTCCCTGAAACACCCATCGCCGATGCCGAAGGGGTACGGGATGCTAACACCGCCGCATGTATCATTGCAACCTGGTGACACCACGTTCGGCGACGGTGGTGCCGATGCTGCTGCTGCCGTCGTTGTTGCTTGGAGCAGCGTCAACAACAACAGCTTAAACGCGAACGGTGGCAGCGTGAATCCCATCCCTTATGCTTGCTTGAAATTAATTGTACCCTTAGGCTTCCATCAGATTTATAAGCCCACAGATGGCGAAGCGAGCATAATTCGTCGGTCAGCTGTTGTTGCTTAGAATAATTGCTTGATCGAATACTCGTTCTGCAGCCCATGTGAAGACTTGTCAAGGCGAAGCCAGCACATGGCATATACTAGAAAATACAGTCGCTTGGAAAGCTGGAGATTGACTGGTACAGGCCCCGTCCAAGTCTTCTTTAAGACTTGGACGGTACAGGAGGCCTACTCGCAGTTTGACTCTGGAATCCACACCTACTCGAAGACTTGCTTGCTTGACTATGCTTAATCCAAGAGACAAATAATTAACGCCAAATTTCCAGTAAAAGTCCCCTCTCTCTCTCTCTCTCTCTCTCTCTCTCTCTCTCTCTCTCTATAGTTTTATCCCTGCTTAATGCTCGCTGATTGGCATGGTCGAGAGGTGGAATATTTGGCTACTGAAAGATGGCGGCGACATGCTATTTGTAGTGTGTTTTAATAATTAAGGCCAATAAAGTTGATGATTATTATTAATTATGTGAAATCCTATGTATTATATTATGAATTTGTTTAAAAAGATTATTACATTAAACGGAGTATAAGATGCTCACATGAATTCGAATCAAGATCCATCAATTGTGAAACCATACAGTAACCATTAGAATGTCTCGATAAATATATTATTATATTAAGTAGTTAGTCACAAATTTGGTTATAGTTTGGTTCAGTCGTCCAATGGAAACTACTCCGAAAGCCAAACAAAGAAGAAGAAAGAGAAAGACATTGACTTTATGTAGTTCCTATCATCGTCATCATCATCATCTTAGCTTCTTAATTGCCATTTTTTAAATGATCAAAAGTCAAACAAGTCACCATCTCAAAATTTGTAGTCAGAGAGAAAGCAAGAGAGAAGTAACCAGGAATTTGATGAGGTCAAATTTGATTATTCTATTGAATAAGGAATTCATAAATATAAAAAAAAATAAGAAATTGAGTGATAACTAAAAGAAGTAAATATAAGCGTAGAATAAATAAATAGGTTATTTGAAGGAATTCTTATATCTCTCGTTATCAAATTTGTCACGGCGAAGTAGCAATCAAATTTGTTACCGTGAGAAGTAGCAATCAAATTTGAAGGATCTCTTATAATATCTTGTTACCGTGAGAAGTAGCAATCAAATTTGAAGGATCTCTTATAATATCTTGTTACCGTGAGAAGTAGCAATCAAATTTGTTGAGACACAAAAATTGATATATTTTCAATGTGAGAGTTCAGGAGAATATAGTGTATGACTAGTGTAGCTAACTATTTTTCAAAGCACTTAGTGTAGACATTTGTAAAGGCTAGCACTTAGTGTATGAGTAGTGTAGCTAACTATCACCTTCTTATGATTTATGATTTATGATTGATCCGACAAAGAATGATCATCTCAGTTATAACCTATGTTTTCTTGTCTTTGACGTTTTGGTGTTCTGTTTAATTTCCCAAGCAAAATAGTAGAGGTAATATATACATATAGTAATACCATCATCGATGACCTCGAATATTGTATAGGAAGTAGATTTGTTGGAGTTGCTACGTCACACTTAGATTTTGGCATGAAAATTGACGAGAGAAAGTGTAACTCGTCAATCATACACACACGTCGGTGCTTCCCACACCGGTAAGGCCGCCCGAAAGAGCATCCACGCCGCCACACGGGTGATGCCTTCCTTGGAAAGGCCTTACCATATTGATACTAAAAGAATAAGGTGCAAATCCAAAATATATGATGTAGAAATAATTTAGTTTATGTATTATTTGAATTTTTTTTTATTAATTTAGGGATAATTTGCATATCACATAAGTTGTCATGAGGTAGCATTTATTCAAGGCAATGAATATAGAAAAAAAAAATGGGAAGAAATTAAATTCATTATTGATCGAAGATTATAAATCTTGATTAAAGATTTTAAATTTTTATCTATACAAATATAATTTTTTTATTAATCAATAATTGTAATTATCTCTATAAATTTAAAATATTGAAAGATTTTTCTAAAAAAATGGTCAAGAATATTATTTTTTAAAGAAAATAAATTATTATATATTTAATTTAATTTAATTAATTAATTAATTTATTTATTTATTTCGAGCCCTTAAAAAGGACTAGAACATTATAATAGATAACCAGAAATTGATCAATAAATTATGTTCTTCGCATGTGTTAATGTACGAGATCATATTTGATTTTCTTATGGAATGATTTTATCGTCCACATGAGAAACTTGTGAAAATATAGGATCTTCATCTTCATAGTGTTTTTCATTAGTTAGAACCATTTATCTTTTGATTATTATCATTCTCATCCTTTTAGTCATTCATCATAAAAATATATATATTTACTACAATTGAGCTACTGACGGTATGAATTACTATCATAATATTTTCTATTACTATATAAACTTAAAGAAAAAAGAACAAATGTTACAAGAGATCCTGTCTCCCGTGCTGTCTTTGACTATAGATTTGAACCTCCTAGCGTTTTAGGGCCCTCATTGTCGGGCAAGATCCGGATTCAAGCGACCTTGCCACCGTTGAGGAATGAAAGCTTCTTCTACGATTCCTAAAGAATTTTGCCAAAATATGAGGCACTGTTGTGATGCCTCCTACTAGGGTTTTGCCTTCACCCTAAGACGATTAGGGTTGAAGACGGTATGTGAAATAAATGGCTTTGCGCTTGCATTAGCTACATCATCCTTGTTGCCACCGAATCACCGAGAGATCTCCCTTCGAGTGAGAGTGAGAGGGCAAAAGAACATAAATATTAAAAGAACTATAAAGAACTAGAACAACTAAATAAATTAATCATAGAGAGAGAGCTTATAAAAAAACACGATTAGAGAATGAATAGTATGAATACACAAAATAATAATAATTTAATCAAGATACCTTTTCATTTTTAATTTTGTCAGCTTTGACATAAATTAGTTGTAGAATTAAAGAGATCCAAGGAATATTTTTGTAAGGATAAGTGACGAAATGACATTTAAACTCATAACCTCATTGAAAGTTTTTACTAGCTAATATAGTTAGCATGGAAGGAGTGCCACCTGATAAGATAATTAGTCTCTTAATTTATTTAAATTAAAATTAAACTAAGATAATTAGTCCCTTCCTAATGTTGGAAGATGTCTTCTTCTCTTCTTTTCGAGAGAGATTGAGATACTACGAGCATCTTGTTATCCCTTTTAAGTCTGAATTCAAATATAAATTGAATCTCAATTTGATTGAAAATTTTAATCAAACAATATTTGATTCAAATTAAAAAAGGAGATAAAAATTTTTAAAGGCGTGAATAATGATTCTCTATCCTTCATGCATGTTTGATAAAAAGATCATCCGAGATATAGGAAAGTCGACGAGGAATAAACTTATTCAAGACAACAAAAAATAGGAAGGCAATAGTACTGAGAGTCTCGATCCACATGTGCGCCAATGATGTATTGTTATTAACACCAAAGCTCTTAACAAATAAATATAAAATTAAGTAGATAAAATCCTATAAAAAAAATAAGTAAAAATAAAAAAGATAAAATTTTATTTTTTAAAATATTTAGATAATAGCTTTACTCAAATTTTACATACCCAACCTCAACCAGTTTGTCACCTCTTTATTGACTTCCTCAAACACTTTCTTTTAAAGTATAACAAGTTAGTTTTTTTTCGTTTTTGTCGAACTATAATAGTTATTACGTCTGCAATTTCGGATCTACTGTTCTTTCCCTATTTTATAAGATCATCACTTATTCCAATGAGTATATCATTAGATTCAGTCATTTTGATATAAACTCTAATTATTTAACTGATGGTTATGCTAACCTTTGTAGGTTGCTTGGCTCTCCTCACACTTGGAAATGCTTGGAAGCCAATGCCCCCTTTTCCAGCACATATTGATTCATTATATATATATATATATATATATATATATATATATATATATATATATATATATATATATACTTAAAATTTTTATAAAAATTGAAAGCAAATTTCATGACATGAAATGATGTATATAATATTCACACATGGATCTAAGTCTGAAACCTATCAATACACTGACCAATATTACCCATATGGATTTAAGTTTAAAATCTATTACTTGTATAATAATGCACTAACCAACTCGCAAATCTCAATAAAGATTAAAAGAATTAATTAGATCGCTGGCTCTCGTAAGTATGTAAATAATTTAAAAGAATATGTTATTTATATAACATGTGAAATTTTTATGGGACTCGATAAAACTATAGATCATACTTTTTTATTTTATTCTATCATTTTTTTAATTTTTTTCTGAAAGAAATTGGTCATCCATCTTTTTAAATAAAAAGAAAGAATAAGAAACTTGATCCAATCAAATCAAATGGGCAATTGAGATTGAAAGCACAAGCGAGATGTATGGTTTTTTTTAGGACCTTCGCTACCATATAAATATTACAAAATTATTATTATAGTAAAATAATTTTTTTTCTCTTTGTATATTAAAATAAGTTTTTCATCAAAATATTAACCATAAAAGTATAAACAGTAGAATAATAAATCAATCACAAAATGAGATACTGAATATAATAAATTTAAAATAAATCTTCTTCAAAATTTTTAGAATATTATAATAACATCAAGAACACATATCTCAGCTCAATATTAACATATCATCATCACCATAGATGGATTTAATGAAAAAAAAAAATTTAGATTTCACAAAGCGGATATAATAGGAAAGTATTTTAGAGAGAATAAACTATATATCGGTATCATTAAGATTATAAAGCTTATTGTAAAAATTCTTCACCTAAAATTTAGGTCAAAATGAACGAAGTTTAGTCGTTCCATCGAGCAAAAGCTTCCAAACCTTAACTTTCGTACTCTTTTTCTTTGTTCTTTCTTTTCTGTGTCCCTGCAGTTTCACCACATGCACTTATTCACACACCACTATCTTCCTACGTCTCCGCTTTTTTTTTTTTTTTTTAATACATCAGACTTGGGCTCAATGCCCAAATCAATCGGGCCAAGCCTACCCATGGGCTGTACCTAATAGGTCTTTAAATTATGCATACCAATGGACGAGACGTTGACTTGGGATCAACTGTTGAATAGTCAACGATAAGGATAGCAACTACAACTAATGTGAATTTGGAACGAAATATAGCAGCTCGTGGAGGGCATTTTCTTTTTTCCGGTTTAGATTTGTGATTTTTCTTTTTGCCATAAGGAATCATTTTGGATATGCATGGGATGTATGTAAGCTTCTTGTTGTTTTAGTCTTGCGCATACACATGCCTTTGAATTATTTGGCAGAGAGACTTAGGTTGACTTGTATCTAATTTTTGTTAAATATCAAAACTTGTAATTTAACGAACCCTAAATCTCTTAAGCCTCTTTTACCTCTACCTTATCTCCTCCTCCCTTCTTCTTCTTCTTATTTCTAAATTAGTATTTCATTAGCCATCTATTTCCACTACTTTGATTTCAACTACCAGTTTTACATAGAAAAAGAAATATAAATTACAATAATGAGAGTTACAATTCATTATACATTTATTTATCATTCCTGTAATAGAAGTAACATAAGTTACAAAACAAGCAACCAATAATATTCTGTTCTGCTAATTCGATTTTTACATAGAAAGAGAACCTAGTTTCTTTATCTTCTTCATCTTCCCGCTTTTACATCAAATCCCAATTTGTTCTCTGAACTGTGGTACCCGACAGAATCCAAGGTACAGCTCATAGATGATTCACCAAGCAATGCTTCACGTTCCTCGGGTGCATGGTACGTTGAAGAGACCTGTAGGAACCCTCCTAATATATGCAGTTTCTCAGTCACTTCTCTCATTGTAGGCCTTTCATCCCCGTTCATGTTCAAACATTCCTTTGCAAGCTCGGCAATTTCATGGATGACATCCATGTTTTCTTTTCCCATGATTTGATCATCCAATATCTCTTCAAGTCGGCTATCTTTCATTGCTTCGATGAAGCTTGAGGCAAGAGCTTTTCCTTGACTACTCCCATCATAATAAATTGCCTTTTTTCTTGTGATGAGTTCCACTATAACTACTCCAAAGCTATAGACATCACTCTTTGCTGTCAGTTGACGGACTAGCAAGTACTCTGGGTCCAAATAACCAAGAGTTCCCTGAACCATCGTTATGAATTGGGTTTCATCCAAAGACACCATCCTCGATGCACCAAAATCCGATACCTTTGACACATAATTATGATCTAGAAGTATGTTGAGTGACTTCACATCTCCATGAACGATCGGAGGGGATGCCGATGAATGCAAGTAAGTGAGTGCTTCAGCAGATTCTCTAGCTATTCGTAGACGAGTAGTCAAGGGAATTAGTGTCCCGTCGTTACCATGGATGAAGTCGAAGAGGGTTCCATTGGGGATGAACTCATAAACCAACATGGGAATTTCTACTTCCAAGCAACAACCCAAGAGCCTTACAATGTTCTTGTGATTGATCTGAGAAAGAATAATCATCTCCCGTACGAATTCTTCACTTTGGTCCTTGGTGACTATCTTAGACCTCTTGATGGCCACTTCCCTGCCACCGTCTATGTTTCCTTTATAAACAGTGCCATGGCCTCCTTGGCCAAGTTCTCGACTCTTATTGAAATTATCTGTTGCCTTCTCTAGATCCTCTTTGGTGTATATTTTGACAGTATCAATTTGCTTTGATCTGATTTCTTCGTATAACCTTAAGCCTCCATTTTGCTGGAAGAATTTATCTTTTTCTTTGAGAAGCTTCCTTCTTTGAAATGCTAAGATTATGCAGAAGATGCAAGTGATGAACGAGACAAACCCAACACAAATGCCTGCACAAAGGGATCAGTTTCATGTCAATTATTTTACAAACTCTTCCGGAGATCGAATTACGAGTTTTCAAAATAGAAGATTGTTACCGACTATTAATGAAGATTAAAAGGATAAAAAAAATTCAAGCTTTGTTTAAGTAGAACGGCTTATTCGAAATAAAAACTTGAATCCGAATACATTATTTTTCCTATTGATTGAAGTTTTAAGAGAAGGTTTAAACTAATACGGAAGGAAGGAAGGATGAGAACTTGTACCTATAACAATCTTCGTTGATGTCGGAATTCCGTGATCTCGGACACATGGTTCCGATTTAGGGTCCTTGCTGCTTTGACCTTTTGGGCATGAGCAGCTGTAGTTGCCTGCTGTGTTGCTGCACGTTCCATGACATGTATAGAGATTTGGCGAGCTGCACTCGTCGATATCTAAGGATTGTCAAAGAATCACGAGGGAAAATTGTAAGACCACATACAACAATCGAAAATAGGAGAGTTGGGGGAGAGATGCATGCTGACCTTTGCAGCCATCCTGGAGGTAAGGATTGCCTTGGAAACCTGTGGAGCAATTGCAGATATAGCCAGGTGGACTGGTGGAGTCGATACAGTCACTGTTGCCGCATGCATATGAAGAAAGGTTTCTCTTAGCCTCCTCGCAGATCTGGTTGCCGGCTACCCAGTCCAGCACGAGTGGGACGCCGTCCTTGTACTTGTCTCCAAAGGTGTGGTTGCCGAGGTCAGACTTGTTGAAGGAGAACCAGTCCTGCTCGGCAATGAAGGCATAGGTGCAGGGGCTGTAGTCCTTGTAGGTAGTAAGATTGACGAAATAGGCCAACCGGGTCGTGAAATTGTCCAGCTTCTCCGGGATGGTGGTCTGGCAGCAGCCGGTGCCAGAGCACGATCCGCTTGCGATGCTTGCCCCTTCGAGGCAGAAGGAGGCGCACCCGGTTCCTAATGTATAGTTGTCCCCGCCAAAGAGGTAGCCAAGGACGTTGCAGCCCATGGTCGTGAACCTGTTCTTGGTGCTGGATACCCAAAATGGTTTGTCGCCAAGGGCTAGAGAAGGTTCTTCACCAGCCACCCAGTAGTCGGTACTGTTGAAACAATCCCAGCTAATGTAATTCAGGATGCGTGCTTGGCCCTGGGGCAAGATTATCTCCTCAATTGTAATGTTCCTCTCGCGGCCGCCCAAGAAAGCTCTGGGAGTCGCAGAGCCGTTAACGACTTCGCAAGTGACCTCGAAGCCTTCCCTGAAACACCCATCGCCGATGCCGAAGGGGTACGGGATGCTAACACCGCCGCATGTATCATTGCAACCTGGTGACACCACGTTCGGCGACGGTGGTGCCGATGCTGCTGCAGTCGTTGTTGCTTGGAGCAGCGTCAACAACAGCAGCTTAAACGCGATCGGTGGCAGCGTGGATCCCATCGCTTATGCTTGCTTGAAATTAATGGTACCCTTAGGCTTCCATCAGATTTATAAGCCCACAGATGGAAAAGCGAGCATAATTCCTCGTTCAACTGTTGTTGCTTAGAATAATTGCTTGATCGAATCCTCGTTCTGCAGCCCAAGTGAAGACTTGTCAAGGCGAAGCCATCACACGGCAAATACAAGAAGACCCTGTCGCTTGGAAAACTGGACAGTGACTGGTACAGATCCCGTCCAAGTCTTCTTTAAGATTCCTGAAGGTTGGAGCTGTGATCGGTACAGGAGTCCTCCTCGCAGTTTTGACTCTGGAATCCACACCCAACCGTAGACTTGCTTGCTTAATCCAAGATACAAATAATTATTGCCAAATTTTCAGTAAAAGCCCCTCTCTCTCTCTCTCTCTCTCTCTCTCTCTCTCTCTCTCTCTCTATAGTTTTATCCCTGCTTAATGCTCGCTGATT